ATAAAACCTTTTACATCAGTTATGAAAGTTTTTAAAAAATTGTTATCGTTCTTCGAAACGAAGATTAATTATAATATGACTCATACAAGCAAAATAACAGAGAAATTAAAGAAAAACATTATCAAGTGAAAGCTCTTTGATTTGTTGTTTACTAGTAAAGCAAAAAAATTTATAAATATGTTGTATTGAATGTATTTAATATATTTTTTTTGCAAACAATTATTTAAATGAAAACTACTATTGCAAGCGCTATACAATCTTTAAAGATAAAAAACAATTTTTTTTGTTTTCGTTTTTAATAATTTCGCGCATTCCAATCTCAACTGAAATTCTCATGTCAACTGTAACATATATATATGATGGACAAGAGGATGTTTCTTTCTTCTAGCGGACTTTTCTATTTTCTTCAGGACTTTTCTTTTCATATGATTTTTTTTCTCGAGATAAATATAAGAAACGATTGAATAAATTTAAATCAAAGGAATAGTCTATTACAGATATATGATGAACAAGAGGATGTTTCTATTCCTCAGCGAACTTCTTTGTTCTCTTCAGGATTTGTTTTTCATATGAACTGCCTCATTCAGATAAATATAAGATAGATTTGAATAGATTTAAATAAAATCGAGAAATACGTTATATTTATAATGGACCAACTGATTTTTTTTATTAGCGGACGTTTTTGATGAAAGTATTTTTCTCGAGAATTGGAGGTTGTCTCTATTTCTATGTGTTATCATCTGTAAAACATGAAGGTCTACATCACTCCAGACCCATCTTTGGGGTCCTGTTGCTGTATTGTTTAGGCATTGAGTCCATCATTGTTGAAAGGATAGGATTTTATCATCGCAGAAGAGTTAATATTTTTTCAAGTCATATTGTGTCGGAGTTTTGTGGTGATCTGTTCATTATGGATATATTCTTCTTCTAGATTATGACAATGATGATCTCTAATAATTTCACGAACCGTTTCAAAGAAAATCGAATGTTAGCTATTGAAATAAGTACTTTTAACCAATTGAACATATCATGAACAGTTGTACCAGCAAATGCAAGACTAAATTCTTCATGTTTTCCCTTAAAAAAATATAAATGTTGATTTAGTCTTGTTAATAATAAAATAAAAACTGGTTCCATTAAAGCAACTAATGTGTTGGTTACAGATGTACATTTTAAACAAAAATCCTTCTGTTAAGAGAAAAGTGACGCATGATGATAGTAAAGTCCTCCTAAAGTCCGCTAAGTAAAAAGAAAATTCCGCTGAAAAATAGAAAAGTCCTCTTACAAAAAATAATGATCATCCATTGAAAAGAGAAAAGTCCTTCTGTTAAGAGAAAAATGACGCATGATGACAGTAAAGTACATCTAAAGTCCGCTAAGTAAAAAGAAAATTCCGCTGAGAAATAGAAAAGTCCTCTTACAAAAAATAATGATCATCCATTGAAAAGAGAAAAGTCCTTTTGTTAAGAGAAAAGTGACGCATGATGATAGTAAAGTCCTGGTAAAGTCCGCTAAGTAAAAGGAAAAATCCTCTTATAAAAAGTAATGCTAATCCATTGAAAAGAGAAAAGTGACGCATGAGGATAGTAAAGTTCATTCAAAGTCCGCTGAGTAAAACGAAAGTTCCGCGGAATAATAGAAAAGTCCTCTTATAAAAAGTAATGCTAATCCATTGAAAAGAGAAAAGTCCTTCTGTTAAGAGAAAAGTGACGTATGATTATAGTAAAGTTCCCCTA